TCAAAGTCCCATCCAACCTGGCTTTGAACACTTCCAGGGAGGGGGCAGCCACCACTTCTTTGGGCAACTTGTGCCAGTTCCTCACTACCCTGAGACTAAAAAATTTCTTCTTAATATCTAATTTAAATCTCTTGTTTTTTAGTTTAAAACCATTTTCCCCTCTCCTATCACTATCTACCCTATCTATGTAAAAATTCCTTCCTCCTCTTTTTAATAAGCCCCCTTTAAGTACTGAAAGGCCACAATGAGGTGTCCCCATAGCCTTCCCTTCTCCAGGCTGAACAACCCAGCTCTCTCAGCCTGTCTTCACGGGATGTGTCCCAGCCCTCTGAGCATCTTTATGGCCTCCTCTGGACCTGCTCTAACACATCTGTGTCTTTCCTGTGCTGAGAACCCCCGACCTGGGCACAGCACTCCAGGTGGGATCTCACCAGGGCAGAGCAGAGGGGAGAATCACCTGCATGGAGCTGCTGCTGCTCCTGCAGCCCAGGATGGGCTTGGCCTTCTGGGCTGTGAGTGCACACTGATGGGTCACGGCCATATTTTCATCCATGAGAACCCCCAAGCCCTTCTCTGCCAATGTCTTGTCAATGGCATCTTCTCTCAGTCTGGACTCGTGTCTGGAACTGCCCCAACCCAGGTGCAGCTTATTGCACCTGGACTTGCTGAACCTCATGAGGTTCATTTCCCAAGTGTGTCCAGGTCCCCTGAATGGCATCCCTTACTTCTACTGTGTCACCTGCACTGCTCAGCTTTGCGTCAGATGGTGCATGGATCTCATTGTCTGTGTTCTCGATAAAGATATTGAAGAGCATCAGTCCCAAAACAGCACCCTGAGGGTCACCTCTTGTCACTGGTCTCCACCTGGACATTGAGCCATTTGCCACAACTCTCTGTCTGTGTCCATCCAGCCAGTTCCTTACCCATCATGTCGTCCACATCTCAAATACATGTCTCTAATTTGGAAGGAAGGATGTCATGTTCTTCATCATCCATGAAGAACATTGATGTGTTTCTTGTGAGAACATGTGACTTTACAGGAAAAGAAAGGATCATCCCAGAAAAATCTACAGCTTTTCCACTGAAAGATTTGGAATCAGAATGCTCATTTTCAAGCACAAAAACTCCAAAACAAAACCAAAAACAAATCCAAACCCACACCTTACTAACAGAATAGTCTTCTGTTTGTTTCTAAGTGAGCTTTGTTACCCCATATACTCCCACTGATGAATTAAGCTCTCTGGCAGGAGGTTTCTTCTGCTCCACATCATTTGGTTGTTAGTGTATACCCAGCAGCAACATGTTTTATAACCTTCAGAAAATATGAAACATTGCCATTTGTAATATGAATCCATGAGGGTATTCTCATTATATAAAGAGGAAATCTGTTAAACTCTCACCAAGCTGAGGAATATTTTCTTTCCAATATATTGTTTGTTTCCTTTGGGAAATACTGTCTTTAATAAAAAAGCACCTTTGTAGAGGCTGTAATGGGTTGTTTAAAAACAAGAAAATGAAAAACCCACACACAAGTCCTAAGAGAGAAGATGTGAAGGGAATTAAATATTTCTGCTGTCAAAGCATTAAAAACAAAAATACGAAATGTGCTATATTTAAATTAACTTTAATAAGAAGTACAAAAAGATAATGTTAAGCAATATTTTGCATGTGGTTAATAAATATTCTTCAACAGCAAGCAGTGACACATTCAAACATAAATCCAGTTATTTCTTTTACATTTTAGAAAAGTAACGATTTTCCCAGTTAAAACAAGGTCACAAATTACAGAATATTATAATCTTCTTTAATTATTTATAACTATGAAACCTACTAAATAAGTAAACTGTCACCCAGAAGATTTTATATGACATTGATGTTCAAGGTTAAGTATACTTACATTTATCATGCAGTTTCTTATTGTGCATATTTGATTGGTGTTTAATTTCAAAATTATTGGTTTAATTCTTCCCATTCCCATATTTCTTTTTAATATACTGGGAGTGCCTATTTTCCAAGTCCTATACATTTTCACACCTAAGTGACTCACTAAATTAGATGTGTCATACAATGCATAAATGTTTTCTGACTCCAGCCCAGCTGAGAAATTGCAAACCATGTATGAATCAGAGACCACTTTGTTTTTACTATTTTTTTTAATCAAGTAAAAAACATTTAGTGTAATCACTTTCATTCAAATTAAAGTGCCTTCAAATGTTTTCTAATAAAGTGACTATTTGGAGGGGAGAAGGTGAAGGGGTGCAGTTTAGGAACTGATATTTTAACAGTTTATAGATACGGTGCATATGTATTCTAACAGATGTAAAGTACTACATTGCATTCCGTGCTATTGCTAAGCTACAGTAGCCTATAAACTGATAAATTCAGCCAAAATGAACATCTAATAAAGAATATCAAAAGCAGTTGATCAAAGCAATATCTTGTTCCATTCGCTATTTCCATCCATCCTCAACAACGTGGTTTGATGGATAAAGTATAGGAAAGCAAATATAACACTTCAACCTGTTGAAGCTCACCCCTTTTAATATCAGATGAATGAAAGCACTCCTTGCAATCATCAAAAACCTTGAATGCATAAGGACACACTCCAGAACACCTTATCAAGTAAAGTATTCACATTATGTAAATAATTTGAAAGCAAAATAGAACTTTTAAATTATCCAACAATAAAAATATAATCATATATATTTATGTAGACTCCAACACTAGAGGAAGAGTATACATTATCTTGCATATTTTAAAGTATCCTCAAAATTCCTTTTTGTTAGTGCTATCACCTCATCCTAACTTACAGCACTTTCATAATATTCTTAAAAGGTATTGATAAATATCAAGGAAAAAACAGACAAAGCTCTGTATTCCAGGATGGTTGACACTTTTTTTAAGGGCTTTAAGGGCTATTTTCATGGATTTGAGAACAGACAACCCATATCCAAAGGAGAGCCCAGGTATAGTTAGGTGTACTCCTCTTCTGGAAAAGTCCTTACTGACTTCACTGATAGAGATAAATATGATGAGGATGTAGATTAGTTTTATTTTAATTTCAGTGCAAATTTTGCCCTGATCTCCATCAGAGATGTCAAGCCCTCAAAATTTATCCTCTTCCAGTAAGATATAATCACAGACCCCAAAAACATGAGTTAAGAGATTCACCTAGAAAGATTTGAATCTAAAAAATTAAGTGGTTTCAAGAAGAGAGAAAGAAAACATTTTATGCAATTAACATATGCCAGGCATTGTAACAAAGTTTTGATTCTTTTCCTTCTACTGCTAAAGACCTAAAGTCCCTCACTGATTCTCAGATGACTGTAATTAATAATTGGATTTAGAAAATAATTTAAAGTTCTATTGTTTCAGGAAGTTTGGGTCATCTACAGAAATGAGGTGGAGGTTTCTTTGACTGAAATGAAAAAAAAAAAGAGATATTAAAGGGATGTAACCAGAATTTATATTGTGCACTAAGAACATTCTAGCAGGAGGTTCACTGGTGCTGGGATGAGATGGAAGGAATCCTAACACTGTTTTATAAAGAACCATTCATTTTACTCAAGGCAGAAGGGCAATCTGACTTTTACACAAATTCACATAATTATTTTAGCATTTGTGTAAGACAAAAACTTTATATGTGATATGAAATTATTCCACATTCGGAGAGTCTGTTTAGGTATGTTTAGATATTTCTACAATTGTAGAAATGCGTTTTTTAAATGAAGCCATTTAACTTACTGGGTTTATTTTAAAATGTTTTCTTCCTCTACTTTAAAACTCATTGCATGGGTTTAAAAATTTTAGCATTATGTGTCTGCACATAATCGGGCACAGATGATGATAGCTTCATTTCCACACTGAAATAATCTTTCATGCAAATTTGTTAGGAGTGGTAATGTTCAGCAGCATAGACTTCATCTGTTTTGTGAAGGCCATGGCAAAACCCATGCACTACTATGCCTTCAGAAAAGGAATGAGAGGTATGGAGGATTAGTGCTGACTCTCTGTGCTTAAGTGAAAGCCATGCTTTTTAAGAAAACAAAGTGTAGAATTAACAAAATTCTACCTAATTTCTGAAGCTTCTTTTCTCCTTGCACCCAATATGTTCCAATCAGCAGGAGACACACAGTATTGCATGGTTGCTTTCACAAAGCAGTCACTAGAGGCCTCTCGCTTTCAAAGGCACAACTCGTGTCCCTCAAGTTCAGTAGAATTATACAAGTATTTTCATTTTATGTACTCTAGAAGTTACTGTCCACAACTCACATGTGGCAGTGAAGGCTCAGAACTGAAGCTGAAACAAAAATACACATTACCTCCCTCAGCGACTTCCTCCTCAGTTATCTCACATTCCAGTGCCATGGTAACAAAGCCATTTGTGTGCTCTCTTTTCTCCTTTCCTCCCCCATACATCCCTACCTCCTCCCTGCTGCTTCTGGTTGATTTCATGCAGACATTTTTTTGGTCTCTTTTGAAAAGTTTCATCACCCTGTATGTTATCTGTAACCACTGGG